TTTCCGTTCCCTTCCTCATGTTGTCCGGATGGTGATGATCTTTTGGGATGCTGTCCCGTGGAGGGATGGTCTCCATGGTAACTGAGCATCATCAGGGAGGATGCTGGAATCATGTCTGAATGTACTTCCACAGATCATGCTGAGTGTGTTTGTTCTTGACTGTCGTTTCAGAGCACATTAACAGAGGTGCAGTTTGGACCAATGAAGCTCTATGAAGATCAGCTGCAGGTACCGGCTCTTCATCACTCATACTCTGTGTTCATACATTATGCTGGTTTAGAAGGGTTTCTGTAGTAAGTACACCAAACAGTGAGTGTGAACATGCAGATTATCAGGCTTCCTGCTCATTATGGTGTGTGTGTGTGTGTGTGTGTGTGTGAGAGTGTGTGTTCTATATTGGGAGTTTCATTATTGCTCATTAATTCTTCAAGCTAATTTTAGGAAGGTTGAGTGAATCCAACCCGACTCCCGTATCCTGAGATTTCTGGAGCTCCCGTGAGAAGATATGAATAATCGCTCTGTGAATCCGCTGTATTTTCACAGACGCGTCAGAATGATTTGAAGGGCCTGTAATGTGTAGAATCTCAGGAACACATGGAGTCTGGGGTTTGTCAGGCGGGCGTCACAAAGTGCCCTAAAATCCCAAACTCGATCCTGTTGCCCTCTCTTCTCTCCCATAGTTCCCTGTGTCTCTTTTGAACTACTATCAACAATAAAAAAGGCAAAAAACAACAACATCAATGCTGCACGAAACACATCAATAGAAACGTCTGGTGCAGCAGATCTACATAGAAAGCTGTGAAATGATTTGTCTGAAGAATTGTGCACCATTAGCGTTGAGTTAGTATTAGTGCTGGGTTAGCATAAGGTTACTATTAGCGTTGGGTTAGCATTAGCATTGAGTTAGTATTAGTGCTGGGTTAGCATAAGGTTACTATTAGCGTTGGGTTAGCATTAGCATTGAGTTAGTATTAGTGCTGGGTTAGCATAAGGTTACTATTAGCGTTGGGTTAGCATTAGCATTGAGTTAGTATTAGTGCTGGGTTAGCATAAGGTTACTATTAGCGTTGGGTTAGCATTAGCATTGGGTTAGCATTAGCGTTGAGTTAGTATTAGTGTTGGGTTAGCATTAGCATTGGAATTTTTTAATCCATGGCAGCTTTCATTGGCCAAGGCCCGCCCATGAGGCCGTTTGACCGACATGTTAAACAACCAATCACAGTTCGTTTCGTTCATCGTCACGTTTCGGGGCGTGGAAATGTCGC